TAATAATATTAAAAATTATAAGCTCTCTCGCTTTCAGTGTGCCGAGTGTGCCCAGTGTGCCCGGTGTGCCAAAAAGTCAGTCCCCTCTATTAGGGCACAGTTATGTTAAAATGTATGAGAAATCACTGTTTATTACACACACAAAAAATAGTAAACTACAGTAAACTCTCTGTATAATGAACATATTAAAATTAAACAAGCATGCGTGTAATTAATCATTATTATACTTTAATTAAATATTAGTATGCTTATATAAAAATATGTAACTAGGTAAAACCCCCCCTGTTATATTTTAGAATTAATAATACGCTAGTTGAATTTTGTATGTATCATAAAGGGAACAGTAGCTATTAGCTAATTTGATATAATACGTGGGTTTCCAGTGCGAGAGTACCGGTATTTCAGACTATTCTTAAAGCATTTCACTCACAGAAACACCTGATATTCATATGGTGTGATTGCGAGTGGTGTAGGTAGGGGTGTGGGAAAAGGGATGCCAAACACTGTCAGTATGGGTGATCAGCTGCAGCACATGGATGTCAGGGGCGACCGTACCGTTCGCATAGGGATAGCCTGCGTTTGGAGGGAAAGGAGAGCGAACGAGCGAACAGTGCACTGGTATCTCGAGTCGGTGTTCAACGGAGGCACTGGTGGGTCCTCTCTATAAAAACTTGTCATTCGTGTATTGGACTGTGAACTGGATGGTCGCACCTGTAGCTCAATCACTGCTATAGTGATAGTCCCTAGTATTGCATCAAGGTTTAAAGTGTCAATTTGTGCCAAATATTTATGTATAGACCTTTTGCTCAACATTTAAACATCATCCCGGTAAGTGTTTTTTTATTAATTAATTAAATGAGCTTACCACAGTAATTAGTTAATTTTTGTTAAATGAGCTTATCACATAATTTTCTTTTTTTTGTATGCGAAACCGTATACTATTTTTATATTTTTCGATAACACATTGTAATCGTATTACACATTAAGCGCTAATAATGTGTTTATCTATTAAGTAGTGATTAATGTATTAATTATTTCAGTATATGTTTTGTTTGATTTTTATTATATTACTCGTGTTTTATGTCATTTTTGGTGAGAAATATTTTTTATGTATCGAGATTTTAGTGTAGCATTTAGTATAGTGAACATCGTGTACACCATAGAGTTCCCTATTCGATAGGCCGGCCATTTTATGCTAGCTTATACTGTATTGGGTTATTATGTGCTAATTTTGTACACTATTGAGAAATATTTTTATTAATTGTGTAAGTAATAGTGTGTTTAATTGATTAGTTACTAGTTTTCTATAAGTTTATAGTTTTGAAACATGTGTTATAAACAATTTATAACTTTGTATTGACTGTCATATAAACTGTATGTTTGTATTTAAAGTGCAATCTAATCAGTAGTTTATTTTACAAATTACTTTCACTGGATTACAAGTGATAGTGAAAATAATTTTTAAAAATTAATTTAATAATAGTATACTAAATTAGTAAATTCATTAATGATTTTATTTTTTAAATATTTTTTGTGTATTGTGTATAAAAAATTAATTACATTTTAATCCACTATTTACAGTACATTTCGTGCCAAATAGACTGAACACCGTATACAGTGAACACCGGTTCACTATAAGCCTCAATACTAGTGATTATAATTCACTGCCAAACAAACTGTAAGTTTTTTTAATAGTCATAAATGCTATAAAAAAAATTAATTAAATATTTTTAAAACTTTTTTTATTGTGTTTAACCGGTAGTCCAGAGCTTAACACCCGATACAGTCAACTCCCGATAGTGTGACACACATTCACAGCTCAATCCCAAGTCATCGATAGTGTGTAGACACGGATCACACCAATCGTAAGTCACTTAACGCTAACTACTATTAAAATTGACATTAAATTCGAATTCTGTGTCAAAATACACGGAATATTCTGTAAAATAATTATTAAATTGCATTACAATCTCAACAGTAATGCCGACACATCCCTGGGCGCTGGTGGAGGTGCTCCGAGAGCATCAATATCGAGCCAACCCTGACATCGACGGCTACCTCGAGGCTCGCCGACTGGCGAGCGCTGAGCACCGGGACGTCGACATCACTGTCCGGCGAATGTCTATCAGCGCCAGCGCCTCAACCATCGCTGAAACCTCCGGCACCGGCAGTAGTGGACAGCCTATGGAAACAACTGGAGCGGACGGGCAGGTGGTGGCTGATAGTGGGCACGAGCGGTGCATAACCCCAGCCCCGGACAACGGGCACAGCCCTGTCGACTGCTGTATATGCCATCAGCCGGCAATAAACCCTATGCGCTGCACACCGGTAGCCGAGCGGCACCTACAGGTCGACGACTACAACCTCGAGTGCACTACCGTTCCTCACGTCATGTGCTACCAGTGCCTCGCAAACTGCATCAACACCTACAACACGCCGATAGTGAACTGTCCGATGGGCTGTCCCAACGAGTTTGTCATGGATAACCTGCGCACAGTCAACCGCACCTACACCCACATGTCGGACCACTTGTTCATACCGTGTCCGTACAACTGCGGGTTGTACGGCTCGCAGGCAGCCCTGGCCAACCATGTCTGTCCATTGGAAACGGCCGATCGCGTGGGCCACACATACCAGTCCCGTGTGATTCACCGTCAACGCGAGGAAATAGACGATCTCAGGGCACAGGTATCCCAAAAGGACTCACAGTTAGCGGCGAAAGACTCGCAGCTCCTGGAGTCGAGGGAAGGTAATCGCCTATTGAAGGACAAGTACGAGGAGTTTGTGAACCGGGAGGCGGCCTCCTATGGCCCCCGTGTGGTGGCCGCTGAACGTACGGCCCGTTACCTCTACGACGAGCTCCTGTTCCGCGACTTACGGATTGACAGCCAGGCGCTTACAATCGGACAGCTTCGGGAGGAACTGGAGGCCGTGGAGTTCGAGCACGAGAGGGCTTTGGCGCAACTGAACCGACAGTACCAGCGAGTAGTCCGAGCCCTGGACGCCGATAGGGGACGCCTAACGGGAGAGAAGGAACGCCTATCCGAAGAGATACGTATACTTCTGGGCTGCGGTCCCGGGCCGGCCGGGCAGGCGCTCCAGCAGTTCATATGGGAGACGAGTAGCGCCACGAATACCGGCGCCTCAGACGATGATAATAGTCTGGGTATACGACACATGTTCACCTCACCGGACGATACGGACAGGGATGTGCCCCAAGAGGTCCTTGAGGAACATCCCAGTGCTAGCGGTGATGGTATGGCTGATAACGAAAGCACCGGTAGTAGCGATGATGGGAACGACACTCCCCGTGCTATGCAACTGTGTTCGTTCCAATGACTGGACAGGTAGTTGTGTGGGCCGGTAGCTAAGCTAACTGACCACTCAATTACTATACAAACTGTAAATACGTTTTTTTGTACATTAATTTCGTATCATTTATTCAATTCATTTCAACAAAACTTTTTACAAATTTATATAAAAATTAGTTTAGACTTCCATTCAATTCTTATTTACTCCCTGACCTCCAGTTCCCCTTATATTTAGAGAATCTCTATTATTACACAATACTATTCCCTATTTTAGTGAATTTTACGGGAACAGTAGTTTTGTTAATGATAGGGATTACTTTTGAATAGTATGTATGTGATGAGCACTGGCTAGTGGTCTGATGCATGCCTATCCCAGGGAACTGGTGCTTAATTTTAGGATTTATTTTATGTATACAGTACTATGATTTAATTATAAAAATTGTTTGATTTAGTATTACAAAATACTTTCGGGTTTTTTCAATTTTTTTATTTTACCGAAAGTTTTACCAATACTTATGAGCTCACAATAATATATTACACCCCTATCACTAATTAAACATAAGATAATTAAACAAAAGATAATTAAACATTTAATTAAGATTTAAGATTGATTTGATTATTAATTGATTATTACTTATTTATATAAAAATGCAATTCAATACAGTACCATAAATTGGGTACAATAACAAATTCAACATTATTATTGTATTAGGTTTAGTAAATATACTAGACATTTAATTGTAAATAGCAATATCTAACCGGGTTAATAAGTTGCTCACCGGTAGATATTGTTATTTATTAATTATAATTTCCACATTGATTTTGATTACAAATATTATGATTATTACTTATAGTATATAACCATTATTTAATTCTTGTTTAATCTAATTAACCGACAATATATTGAAACGAATTTTTAAGTGAGACTTACAAGTTAGCAAGAATAATTTATAATAAAGTTATCGTTGATTATTTAAGACTACTAAATTAATGAACATTTATTATTATAATTTACAATAACTAACGGGTTTTTGTATATTTTACCGCTAGTTAGTGTAACTTATTAATAATTATGAAAATACAGTTAAACAGGATAAATTATCCCTATATATTTACTTATTAATCAATATTATTGGCCTCTATTTAATCATAATAGTTCACTACCCGTCACATACCTTTCCCGTGTTAAGGGATAGTAAATTAAATTGAAAATCAAATTAAAATGTTAATGAAGTGCTAATAAAATCAAATTTTAATACTGAGATTTTTAATATTTTGACTAAATTTTTATTACTATTATATTTAATCTATACTTATTTTTATATAATCAATTGAAATGTCATTGATAATTAATTTAATAAAAATTTATATAATGTTTTGTAATATGACAAACTAGCTAAAGTTTGCATAATAAATAAAAAATGTGTTAACAAAGGTATGGGAGGGTAAAGGGTTACCTTACCCCCAACCTTTATGTGTTAGTGATAAATAATGTACATAGCGCATATCACTAAATTAATTTTGTAAATTATTTATAAATACACAAAAAAAATCTGAAAAATTGTTATCCAGACACAATAAATCAAAAACACGCATAAAATTGTTTTTATAAACAAAAAAAACAGTCAATTCATTACGTTTTGTGTAAATATTTTGTTAAATTATTAATTGTTTGTAAAAAATGTTTTTTATTTTTGCTTCATTCACTTATAGCTCAATGTATTTATAATCTCATTATCATTGATACAAAAAGTCATAAAAAGTATTGCAAATACTACTGGAATTTTAGTCCCTTTTAATACTGAATTATTATGAGTGAATGAAACTTATTATCTATTTATGCGTTTATTTATAAATAATTTATTATTGAATTTAAGTTAAAAAGTATTTAACAATTTGTTTTGATTCATGTGAACAACTATTTTGATACTACCTTGTTTGCGTTATATTTGAATTATTATTTAAATGAAAAAAGTTTTGTATTAAAAATCTAGTATTAAATTGAATACTTGCAATTGAAAAAATAATTTTGAATAAATTTTTTTGAATTAAACATGGTGGTTTATAATTGTATACTACTATACATTTTATGTTTAATTAATTAATTTTACAGTTTTACTTATTAACATTAATTTTGGATATCTACATGTATTATAGATCCTAGTACATTTGAAATTGTATTATATTTGCTCAGATTATGCGCACAATGACCAGTGAATGGCTTGAGGTATGTCCGAGATTGTGTCACTTCACACCAATTATACTAACCTAGCTAATATCTATTTGAATGTCAATACAATTTAGTGACCTATCATTTGGTATTTCTTTATTACAGTTCATCACTGATTATCACTTGTCTCTCATGTTTATAATGTGTCTACTTTTACAACTAATGTCATGTGCATTGTAAGTGGCTTATAATGTAGCTTGCATCATTGAATAATAACAAAAATAGACTGAATATACTAATACACAGACAAAACTTTCATCAGACAAAATATATAATTGCTTGAGTCTGTGTGTATAGTATACACTGTATACCGTACACTGTATAGTGAGCCCTACTGTATTACATTACAACTGTATTAGACTACAAACTTACAAGTTGTAAGCATATAATTCATTTAATTAACTTATATGGTCCTTTAAACCTCCAATATATTAAATATACTAAATTTTAGTATATTCATTCAACATGTAAAGTATTTGTATGTAGATCAAACCAGTATGTTAATACAGCCACTAACAAGCTAGTATGTTATTAAAAAGTGAAAAATGCATTCATATATAAATTATTCTAATAAATGTCGAAGCTATAAAATATTTTTGTTATTGTATAAGTCCCACAGCTAAATTAAAATCAATACTGAACATTATGAAAACAAAACCATTAAAACTGTAATTAAAGATCTTAAAGCATTTAATGGTAAATGTGCATGTTCAGGGATACTTATTAAAAAGTTTTCGAAAATAATAATTTACGCAATCTTGAACGTGACTTTTATTCCCAGGTATAACCAGGGATCATATGGGCGAGATTATGCTATAGTCAGCTAAGTATTACAAAATGTAAACTGTAATCAACACACAAATCATATAATAGATTATCCTATTTTGAGTAAAAATAATAGTTTTATTCAATTTTATGTTATAAATGATTATTAAAGATTAATATTTAATTAAAAATATAATTATTAACTAAATTTAAATATAAAACTTGAAAATAAATCCGATATTTAAGTTTTAATTAACTACTAGCAATATTTTAAATTTAAAAATACTTAACTTGTTATAGCATGTTGTGCTTCATATGAACATGTGTGTTAAATGTATTAAATTAATTTCTAAATTATACAATTATATTAAAATATTTGTAACTTTTGTTAACTATATTATTTAAATTCATTATAATATTAAATATTTTAAAATTTATATTTAACTAGAATAATA